AAAACTGCAAGGACTCGTCCAAGCAGTCACTGCAGAGTCGGTAACGACTGAGTGCAGATTTTAAAAAAAACAAAACTAATTCAGATGTTCTTGGTTCAAAAGGTGGGCAGCCATTTCTACTTCAGGAAAGATTTTTCAATTTATTTATTTCAAAAATGTATATCCTCTTCTCTCCTCCAAAACAAACTACAGGTAGTCCCCAGTTTCAGAACGAGTTCAGTTCCCAAGGTCTGTCCTTAAGTCAAAGTTATATATAAGCTGGAACAGTATTATTGTATAATACTGTATAATAGTATTGTGTAATGAACTCGAACCAATGTGCATTTAACTCAAATCATTGTGTATTTATCGTGAATTTTGCTACAATAGGCTCTGTCCTTAACTATGGGTCATCTGTAAACTGGGCGTTCTTAACCCGGGGACTACCTGTAATCCAGAACTTTCCCTGGGCAATTTAGTAATTGAGAAAGAAAGAATTTAGGTCAGTGATCTACAGTTTCTCAATATACCATTAGATCATTAGATCTTAAGTAGAGAAATGAATCAGAAAATGTGTGCCATATAATTAATAGCAATCAGCCCATCAATAGCACTTAATTAACTACTGGAGTAGGTCAATGCAGAGGAGGGGTGGGTTTGCCATGGCTTGCAGAGTTTCAGCGAAGCTTGGAAGGAGAGCTAAGTTGTCGATCAACAAGAAAATCAGGACTTAAAGATGATCAGTTGGCACTGAGGTGTGGAACTTACACAAGGATGTAGTAGATTGTGGTGATATTTCTTGCTCTATTGCATGCCCAAGCACCATTCTCCTAAGCCAGAAAGCAAAACAGCAAGAAGGTGAGGAGCTGAAGTTCATGCTTTTTGTGCCAATAATGTTTAGGTTTAATCCCTGTGATCTCCAAATACAGTTGGTGAAGACTCCTATGAAATCTTGGGGAATTGTTTCCAGTAAATCAAGGGAAAAGTGAGCTACATGTTAAGTGATCTCATTGGTATCAGATTCCAATATTTGATTTCCAATTATTAAAAATATGCATTGTTTTGTGCCTGGATTAACTGTTGACAACTCATAGACCATCAAGCTCAATGTCAGTAATGGTGGCAGACCACCAAACCATATGCACCTTCTTCTTTGCCATTCCTGGCTTCTGCAAATGAAAACACATTTTTCAACCTAAGAACTGCACTACTTCATCAGGGTTAGCACACAGTGAACCTCCCTCCCTCCCTCCCTC